ATGCATGTATGCATGACCAATGGACATGGACAACTAAGCCGGGGATGGGGCAGAGGTGGGGTGGGTTGGGGGGTGCCAATGGGGTAAAAAGTTAAAATATCTGTAACAAAAAAATAAATAAAAATTCATAAAAAAATAAACATATATGTACCCAATATAGGAGAACCAAAATATATTAATAATCTTCTGGAAGACTTCAAGGGAGAAATCGATAGCAATACAATCATAGTAAGGGACTTCAACACCCCAATGACATCACTGGATAGATCCTCTAGACAAAAGATTAGCAAGGAAACAGAGACTCTAAATGAAGCACTAGACCAAATGGTTTTAACAGTTATCTACATATAATTGCACCCCAAAACTACAGAATTCACATTTTTCTCAAGAGCACATGGGACATTCTCAAAGATAGACCACATGTTAGGACAAAAACTAAGTCTCTACAAGTTCAAGAAGATTGAAATCATATCAAGCATCTTTTCAGATCACAAAGGCATAAAACTAGCAATCAATTGCAACAAGAACATGCAAAGACCTGTGAACATATGGAAGCTAAATAGCATGTTATTAAATAATGACGGGGTCAATGAGGAGATCAAGGAAGAAATTAAAAACTTCCTGGAATCCAACGAAAATCAACACACAACAACACAAAACCTATGGGATACAGTGAAAGCAGTTCTGAGAGGTAAGTTCATAGCACGACAGGCCTACCTCAAGAAGCAAGAACAATCTCTAATAGACTACCTAACCTCACCACTCAAAGAACTACAAAGCAAACAAAAAGAAAACCCTAGAGCAAGTAGAAGAAAGAAAATAGTAAAGATCAGAGCAGAAATAAATGACATAGAAGCAAGAAAATAATAATTCAAAGGATCAATGAAACAAAGAGCTGGATTTTTGAAAAGATAAACAAGATTGATGGACACTTATCTACACTCACCAAGAAACAAAGAGAGATAACTCAAATACACAAAATCAGAAACGAAAGAGAAGAAATAATAACTGACACCACAGAAATGCAAAGGATCATCAACAACTACCATGAACAATTATATGACAACAAATTCGACAATCTAAGGAAAATGGACAACTTTCTAGAAATACATAGTATCCGAAAATTGGACCAAGAAGAGAGAGAAAACTTGAACAGACCAATAACAACAGAAGAAATTGAAGATGTAATCAAGACTCTCCCAGCAAACAAGAGCCCAGGACTGGATGGCTTCACGAGGAAGTTTTACCGAACATTCAAAAAAGAACTAACACCCATTCTCCTCAAACTATTTCAAAAAATTCAAGAAGAAGGAAGACTTCCAAACTCGTTTTATGAAGCCAGCATAATTCTAATTCCAAAACAGAAAAAGACACAACAAAGATAGAAAACTACAGGCCAATATCCCTGATGAACATAGATGCCGAAATCCTGAATAAAATACTAGCAAATCGGATCCAGCAATACACCAAAAAATTATCCACCATGACAAAGTGGGATTCATCCCAGGAATGAAAGGTTGGTACAATATTCACAAATCGATAAATGTGATACATCACATAAATAAAATGAAGAATAAAAACACATGATGATATCAATAGATGCCTAAAAAGCCTTCGACAAAATCCAGCATCCATTTCTGATAAAAATGCTGAGCAATGTGGGAATAGAGGGATCATATCTAGACATAATAAAGGCCATATTTAAGGCCATAATAAAGACCTACAGCCAACATCATACTCAATGGGCAAAAACTAAAAGCATTTCCCTTAAGAACAGGAACAAGGCAAGGATGACCACTTTCGCCACTCTTATTTAACATAGTACTGAAAGTCTTAGCCACAGCAATCAGACAGGAAGAAAAAATAAAAGGGATCCAAATTGGAAAGGAGGAAGGGAAATTGTCATTATTTGCAGATGACAGGATACTATACGTAGAAGCCCCAACGACTCCATCAAAAGTTTACTAGACTTAATAAATGAATTTGGCAAACTAGCAGGATACAAAATTAACATCAAGAAATCCATGGCATTCCTATACACCAATGATGAGCTCACAGAAAGAGAAACTAAGAGAACAATCCCATTTACCATTGCAGCAAAAAATTAAGATATCTAGGAATAAATTTACCAAAGAAATAAAGGACCTATTCGCTGAAAACTACAGGTCATTGAAAAAAGAAATAGAGGAAGATATATAAAAGTGGGAGCACATACCCTGTTCATGGATTGGGAGAATTGACATCATTAAAATGTCCATATTACCCAAAGCAATCTACACATTCAACGCAATCCTCATCTAAATACCAACGGCATACTTCACAGAATTGGAACAAGTACTTCAAAAGTTCATACGGAACCAAAACAGTCCTCGAATAGCCATAGGAATCTTGAAAAGGAAGAACAAAGTTGGAGGGATCACATTACCAGATTTCAGGTTATGCTACAAAGCCACTGTAATCAAAACAGCCTGGTACTGGCACAAAACAGGCATATAGACCAGTGGAACAGAACAGAGAACCCAGAAATGGAACCAAGGCAATATGCTCAATTAATATTTGACAAAGGTGGCAAGAGCATACAGTGGAGTAAGGACAGCCTCTTTAATAAATGGTGCTGGGAAAAATTGAACAGCTACATGCAGAAAAATGAAACTAGACCATCAACTTACACCCTACACAAGAATAAAGTCAAAATGGATAAAAGACTGCAATGTGACTCATGAATCCATAAAAATCCTAGAAGAAACTGTAGGCACCAAAATTGCAGACATCATAAGCAGCAGAATTTTCACTGACACGTCATCTAAGGTGATAGAAACAAAGGAGAAAATGAACACATGGGACTACATCAAACTCAAAAGCTCTGCACAGCGAAAGATACAATCATCAAAACAGTAAGGCTACCCACTGTATGGGAGAGCATAATTGCCAATGATACATCAGATAAGGGGTTGATTTCCAGTACATATAGAGTGCTCATACAACTCCACAGAAAGAAGACAAAGAACCCAATTAAAAAATGGGCAGAGGAACTAAATAGACACCTCTCCAAACAGGACACACAAATGGCTAAGAGACATATGAAGAAATGCTCAACATTACTAATCATCAGAGAGATGCAAATTAAAACAACAATGAGGTATCACCTCACACCTGTCAGAATGGCCACCATCAACAAATCATCAAACAACAAGTGTTGGCGAGGGTGTGGAGGGTGTGCACTCTAGTGCACTGCTGGTGGAAATGCAGACTGGTGCAGCCACTATGGAAAACAATATGGTGTTACCTCAAAAAATTAAAAATTGAACTTCCATTTGACCCAGTGATCCTTCTTCTAGGAATATACCCTAATAAGCCTGAAACACCAATCAGAAAGAATATATGTACCCCCATGTTTGTAGCAGCACTATTTACAATAGCTAAGATCTGGAAACAGCCCAAGTGTCCATAAGTAGACTAATGGATAAAAAAGCTGTGGTACATATACACAATGGAGTACTATGCAGCTATAAGAAAAAAAGATCTCTTATCCTTTGAGACTACATGGAGGGACCTGGAAAGTATCATCCTAAGTGAAACAAGCCATACAGAGAAAGACAAGTTTCATATGATCTCACTTATATATGGAATATAATGAACATAACAGTCTGAGGAATGGGGTAGTCCCAGAGACGTGGAAGTGAGGTACAGACTGACAATCCCCAGAAGAGGGGGTTGTGGGGGAGAGATAAACCATAGAACTTATATGTGCGTATGCATGAACAGTGGACATGGACAACAAACTTGGGAAAGGCAGGGAGGGGGAAGGGTGAATCAGGGGGGAAAAAGGAGAAACATCTGTAACAAAAATTAATTAATAAAAAAATGTATATACAAAAGAAATTTAAAAAAGAAAATTTAAAAAAAAAAGAAATGGGCAAAGGACCTAAATAGACACCTCTCCAAACAGGACATACAAATGGCTAAGAGACATATGAAGAAATGCTCATCATTACTAATCATCAGACAGATGCAAATTAAAACAACAATGAGGTATCACCTCACACCTGTCAGAATGGCCACCATCAACAAATCATCAAACAAGTGTTGGTGAGGGTGTGGAGAAAAGGGGACTCTAGTACACTACTGGTGGGAATGCAGACTGGTGCAGCCACTGTGGAAACTAATATGCTGTTACCTCAAAAAATTAAAGATTGAACTTCTATTTGACCCAGTGTTCCCACTTCTAGGAATATACCCTAAGAAGCCTGAAACACCAATTAGAAATAATATATGTACCCCCATGTTTGTAGCAGCACTATTTACAATAGCTAAGATCTGGAAACAGCCCAAGTGTCCACCAGTAGACGAATGGATAAAAAAAAACTGTGGTACAAATACACAATGAAGTACTACATAGGTGTAAGAAAAAAAGATCTCCTATTCTTTGGGACTACATGGAAGGACCTGGAAAGTATTATCCTATGTGAAACAAACCAAACAGAGAAAACAAGTATCATATGATCTCACTTATTTGTGCAATATAATGAACATAACAGTCTGAGGAATGGGATAATCCCTGAGACGTGGAAGTGAGGTACAGACTGATCATCCCCAGAAGAGGGGGCTGTGGGGGAGATAAACCACAGAACTTATATTCATGTATGCATGAACAATGGACATGGACAACAAACTGGGGACAGAGCCGGGAAGGAGGGGGAGGGAGGAATCAGTGGGGGGAAATGGAGAAACATGTCTAACAAAAATAAATAAATTAATAATAATAATAAAAAAAAAAACAGAAAAAAAATATTGGAGTCAGAGCTCAAAAAGGAAATCACTCTTTATAAAATAGCAAGAATATGCCTTTGGACTTTTTGATGCTTAACTGTGGCACTGATATCACCCCTAATCTGTTAGAAAACTGTGTAATTGCTACTTGATATAAAGTTAGCTGTGAAGTAATAAAACTCTTATCAAAACTACTGTAATTAATTATTGTTTTCAAAAATATGTTTACTTTAAAAGAAGCCTGTTACCTTTATTTCAGGAGATAAAATTACATCAAATTCATACTGTAGGGTTTTATTATCATAATTTATAAAGGGCTGAGCCATGTCAAGAAAATGTTCGATATCTTGGAGGGCTTTTTGAGCATCTTTTTTAGACTGAAACTTATCTATTTCCTGATTATGTAGAAGACATTCTTCTTCATCACAGTACTGACGAGCCTGGTGAGCACATTACACACACACGTGCGTGCATGTGTGCGCGCGCACACACACACACACACAGAACCATAAGTGAATGAAAAACAAATATGTTTGTCCCTTAAGACAGTGTTTATGAGTTTATCAATCCTGGCTTCTGTCTGTCAGGATTATTCTCAGAGCTATTAAAAATAAAGATATCAGGGTTGGACCTCCAGAAATTCTAATTCAGGATCTCAGAGCCATAAGCCAGGCAATTATATGTTTACAGAACTCTACAGGTATTTCTGATGCATGGCCAAGGCTAGAAAGTGCTACACTCATTTCATAACAAGGAAATCATTCTGCAGCAGGAGCCTGACCATTCTTTCAATACTAACATTTTAGCTGCATGCTATTCTCCCAAAATCAATAACTAAAATATGAAACTCCTAGAAAAATATAAAGTATAACATAAAAGCATAATAATTGCACAGGACAAGGATAAAAGTTTCCTTGCCAGAGAAGGAGATGTGCAGAAAAGAAATATTCTTATTAAGATTTGATGCCTATAAGTCATACCCCTATTTTACATTCTACTGCCAGGACCAGATCTTTTCTTTACTGTGTACCCATAATGGGGTTAGACCTTCAAGCCATGTAGGAATATTTTCTAGTCATTGTTTAATTTCTTATTGCTGTAACTATGAAATGTGAAAAGAGTTTCAGGCTTTAGCAAAATGTCCCCAGGGCTTTTAAAAGTGTTCCAACTGCAATCTATTACCAAAGTAGAGGCTTCAGAGATGTACCCAAAATAGAAAGACGTCATCACAACCATGATCTCAATATTCAGAACAGAGGCCAAAATTCTTACAATACTAGACCTGCTATGAATTCTATAGAGTTAATATGGGTTAAATAAGCATAGTCAAACTCAGATGTCTTGCAAATTTAATTCCAAAGCTCTATGAGACCCTGACCCTACAACCTGTGAGAAGGACCCAAGAAAAATATTTATCTTCTTTTTCAGAAATGCATCATGTCCCATGACACTACCTGCAGTAGAAGTTTATGCATTTTGAAGATCCTGCTGAGTTGCATCCGTTTGGCTTTGATCTCATTAACCAACATATTAGAAAGAACGTAGCTCATTGCACCTCTGGCAAATCAAATCAAGTGCGTAATGGCGATTTGCTGCAAGTCTGTGTCCATGTAAAATCACAAACTGTGCCTTTGCTAACAGATCCTGATTTTAAGAAAGAAGTAAAATAATAACTGCATGATCTCTGTTCAAAGAGAGGGGGATAAAGTAATTAACAAGCAACCGGGTTGAGCAAGGAGATATTTTGCAAAAAATATGGTTTGATGTCATACTTCCATAGGCTGCAAAAAAAGCTTATAGTTACAGTAATTAGCTATAGCAATTGATGTCATCAGAAGCTCACACATTTCTGGTAACATAAAGAGAAAATCAGCCAGCCTCCTAAAACAGGAATGAGATTTGCTTCTTGTGGGCTGTACAGATTTAGAACAGAACAGCATATATCAAATGAGGTACACACCAGCCAAAGAAAGCCAATGGATTTTATACATCTCAACCTTGGAAATCCCATTAGAGTCATCATATACCTGACTCTTTACAGACCTGAAGTGAATCTGTCCCAGGGTTTCCATGTCAAAAGGTATCTTAACAGCCTTGCCTCCACATCAACTGATTACTCACCCCCAGTATAGTGACTGAAACGTAATAGAAGCTCCAGAAATGTTTTTGGAGGTAAAATAAAGAAACCTGAATCCCCAAATGAAGAAGTGACTAGTCTATCTAGCTAGTGTGGAAACCAGGGTCAAAACAGGAAGCCATTTAAATATAATAGATTTCTAGTGTTGCAAGATAAAAAAGTTTTACAACTTGAATACACTTAAAAATGGTTAATATATTAAATTTTGTTGTCTTTCACCACAATTAAAACTAAAAATTATTTTTAAAAAATAAAACAAAGTCCCCTAGTTTGCAAGCCAGTTTGCCTTCTCTTTTTAGTATACCAAAGGGATTGATAAATTGCCCCACAATAACAAAGATCTACAAACACAATTCCAGAACTTTTCACCACAACTGCTAACCCTTATTTTTATTTTTTGGTGCTTGTGGTTCACCCACAAATCTGTCTCTTTGCTGAGAATACACCTCAAAATCCATGGCCTTGACCTCACATACAAAACAGAAGAGCAAAGCTAGAGTTTGTTAGGTAGTAAAACCATGAGTCTAAGCTTTAAGTGCGGCAGCTGGCTCTTTTGAATACTTACAATATATCCATATATTTCAGGTACTGTGCTTAGTGTTTTATCTACAAACCTAAATGAATTCTTACAATCACTCCACAAATTAGGTCCTTTCATCCCCAATTTATAAATGAAGATATTGGGGCTTAGAAAATGTAATCTAAGGTCACACAGCTAGTAGGACTAAGTAAATTTAACTGTATGAATGTATGTTATGTTCTTGTATGTTTCCATCATTTTCAAGTACCAAATAGCATTCTTGATAGACATTTTCTAGCTTCTCCTAAATGATTTATGATCTTATTTCCACTAACAGGCCTAGAACATTTCACACCATTATCTCAAAAAGAAGAATATTTTATTTTAAAAAGAACTGTATTATACTGTTGTCTGTCAATGAGGTTTTTCTTTTTGCTTAATCCCTTCACCTTTTCCACCCAGTCCCCCCAATACCCTCCCTTGTGACAGCTGTCAATCTGTTCTATGTATCTATGCCTCTGTTTCTATTTTGTTCGTCAGCTAATTTTGTTCATTAGAGTGCACATATAAATCAAATCACACAATACGATATACCAATGATGTATTATAGAAGTGTATAACTGAAACCCATATAATTTTATTATCACCACAATAAATTCAATTAAAAAATAAAAAAAAATAAAAAGGACTGTATTATTCAAAAATATTAATGTCATAAAAGACAAAGAATGGCTATAGAAATGGTCTAGACTAAAGGTAACTAAGGAGACATGACAACTTAATGCAATACACGGCCCTCTAGACTGGATTCTGTGCTGGACTGGGAGGAAATAATGTAAAGGATAGTATTACCCTGGCTGGTGTGGCTCAGTTGGTTGGAGCACCATCAAGTCCACCAAAGGGTCACAGGCTCAATTCCCAGTCAGAGCACTTACCCAGGTTGTGGGTTCGATCCCCAGTTAGGGTATGTATGGGAAGTAACCAGTCAATGTTTCTCTCTCACATTGATGTTTCTTTCTCTCTCTCTCTCTAAGAAAACATCAATAAAAAAAAGATAGTACCAAGTCAATTGACAAAATTGGAATACTGATGGTAGATAATACAAAACTACTGCAGTACTGTTGAATGTACTGAATTTGATAACTGTACTATGATTATGCAACAGAATATTCCTATTCTGTATATTCAAAAATATCACAAGTTTGACAACATTCAAAATTTTATGTAAGTTTGAAATTTCCAAACAACTTTTTAAGTTAACTTCCTAAATATACAGAGTCTATCTTCTATTTGATGTCACTATGAGATACAGATCATGTTAATGAGGTTACAATCCATTACGAAAAACAACAATACTGCCCAGCCGATTGAGCATTGTCCCATGGACTGAGAGGTCCAGGTTGTGGGCTCAATCCCCAGTAGGGGGCATGCAGGAAGTAGCAGATCAATGTCTCTCTCACATTGATGTTTCCATCTCTCTCTCCCTTCCTCTATCTCTAAAAAGTCAATAAAAAAAAAAAAAAAAAAAAAACAATACTAATTAGAGGTAACAATGACCTGAAGAAACAGAATATAACTGCAGGATAAAACTTTAGTATGGATGCAAATTAAGGTATAAATAGATGCATAATAATATGTTCAGGAAAAGTATTATTTTTTAACATGTTCAATTGGGTAGGAGGAATAGACACAAATATCTGGAAGGACCAAGGGCAATTTGATTTATTCTTACTTTAAGATTTATTTCATGGAGAGCATGATACTTTAAAATTTGTTAGAATCACAGGAGGGAAAGGGTTGGTAGTAACTGAGCCCTGTGTCCAGAATGCAGTACCCCTCCCTAAACCTAATCCTGCTAGAACAAATGAAATACCAAGTAAGTGTGCCACTCATGGGTAGAAAAAAAGCTGGCCACATGGAAAAGAAAAAAGAAATGAGTGTTCTGCCCTGGCCGGTTTGGCTCAGCGGTTAGAGTGTTGGCCCATGGTCCAGAGAGACCCGGGTTCATTTCCCATTAAGTGTACGCACCTCAATTGCAGTTTGTCGCGGGCCCCAGTTGTGGTTGTGCAAGAGACAGCCAGTTGATGTGTCCCTTTCGATGTTTCTATCTCTCTCTCTCTCCCTCCCGCTCTATCTGAACAAAAATGGATAAATGCCCTCGGGTGAGGATAAAAATAAAAAAATAATGATAATAAAGTGTGTTTTCTAAAAAAAAAAAAAAAAAAAGAAATGAGTTTTCCTTGGATTCCCTGGTAACATATATGAAAGAGACTGTGAGGAGCTTAGACATGACTGCAAAGAAAGGAGAAAACTAAATCTAGTGTGGTAACAGAGCTGAGAGGTTGTTACAGAGCAAGCTGAAGATGAATACCAGAGGTCTTGTATCTCAGTTAAAAGGCAGTATTCTAGTTACTGAACTTTCAGCAAGTGGATCTTTTGAAAGACATGATCCTCTTCAAAAAAGTTTTTTTTCTAATTTGAAAAATGAACTTTTGCTCAGTCATCCTCTTGAATTTTCAGAAGGAAAGTTTCAGATCAACCAAGATAAAATGGATTTTTCCATACTGAGAAACATCCAGGGTCTGCTTGCTCCATTAAATTTCAAATGAAATTCAAGGCAGCGCAACAGGTTCAGTGTCTTCCATCTTTTCCAAGCTGAAGCCTTTCACTAATATTGTGAGGGGTGATAAGACTATTGGATTTGAAGATATTCTCAATGACTCATCACAAAGTGAAATAATGGGAGAACCATACTTGATGGTGAAATATAAACTCGGTTTACTATAATGTAGTGTGCTAAGCATGGAAATGGAGGGGCTACAACTTGTTATAGTCAACTTTTTACTATGTGTCATTTTATATATATAACATTAAAAGTACTGACACATGAAAATTGTTGCCTAAATAGTATCTGATCACTTTAAATTATTTGGGTCTTTGGTTTATAATCCTGTGACAGTTGAAAGCACTAGAGATAATTTTAAAACTCCTGATTTATATGGAAACAATAGCTTTTTATGTCTTTAAAAAATCATTGCTAATCAACATTATAAAACTCACAATGAGTTCCAATTTAACCTATTTTCTATGTATTCCATAAATCGAATTTTGAAAAACCATTATCAGTATTTGAGTCTGTAGTCTTCATAGTAAGCCTCTTTTGGAGTAAACATCTATAACTGACTTCAGTGGTAATACTTCAAATTAAGTACAAAATCAGATATTTGTATTTTGCCTTGTTTGGGTAAAATTAGTACTGATAATAATAATATTTGCCTTATTGCAGCTACTTTAGAAGTATAGCTATTCCTTGATTCTTTCAGGTTGAAAAGTATAAGTTCAGAGTTTTTTATTTTAGTCTTGTCTTTAAAGTAAAAAAATAAATAAACCAACCAGCAACTTAAAACAAACAACAACAAAAAACTAATTCTATGTTCCTGACTATATAGAATGTATTTTCCAGAAGGATCTAACTGAATATACTTTTAACCTCTTAAATAATGTATAATTAAACATTATTTAATTTAACCCATCAGGCTTTTCATAAATATAAATTGCTAGATCAGAAAAAAAAAAGATTTATTAGATCATGTTAAATATAGTCAGCAGAGGAATATAGTATTTTAAAAAATCAAGAAGGAAATTGACACTATTTCCTTGGAAAACTATCACATAGTCTGAGAGCATTTTATATTTAAAATAAATTAAAATAACAAACAAAAGTGTAGATTATAACTTTGTCCCTTTCATATATGTTAGCACATAACTGCTCTTTTGAAGGAACTGAATAAGCCCGAGAAGTAGAAGTATTGGCATTTAGTAGTTGTTTTCTTTTTTTTTTTTCTTTATTTTTATTATAGTCCTCACCTGAGGACACTTTTTGATATTTTGTTCAGATAGAGTGGGAGGGAGAGAGAGAGAGAGAGAAACATCGACGTGAAAGGGACACATCGAGTGGTTGTCACCTACACGACCCAACCAGGGCCGGGGACAAACTGCAACCGAGGCACATGCCCTTAGCGGGAACCGAACCCGGGTCTCTCTGGACTGCAGGCTGACGCTCTAACCGCTGAGCCAAACTGGCCAGGGCTGTTTTCTTCATTCAAGGTCAAGGTTCACTCACAATTACCTCCTTTTTTTCCTCCATCTCTCTATGGGCTTAAATGGTCATCTTGTGAGACTGTATTTCTAATGATCAAGGAATAAAAACCTCTGATGTAATGAAAATAATTGTTAGCCCTGGCCAGTATAGCTCAGTTGGTTGGAGCATCATTCTGTGCACTGAAGGGTCATGGGTTTGATCCCTAGTCAGAGTACATGCAGGAAGCAACCAATGAATGTTTCTCTCTCTCTCCTTTCCTCTCTCTAAAATCAATTTTAAAAAAGTGTTTAACTGACCTTTTGAAAATCCTGCTCAAACTTCCATAGTTGCAGATACTGCTCCATTTTCAGTTGGTGTTTTTCCCAAAATTCATCAAAAGCGATTTTCATATCATGTACTTGAGTCAGCAATCTTAACAAAGAAAAGTAATAGAATTCCTTAAAAGCAAAAGCTTGTTTTATAGGTATGTAGATAAACCTGATCTGGACATTATGAATTATAGACAAAGTCACAGCCCATGACACTTGGTCCAAGTAGAGACCATCAGTGTCCACAGAATCTTGTCTGTAAGCAAGCTAACTTCTGTGAGATAACTCAGAATTGAGTTCTCAGATATCTAGAGATCCAGGAATACTTTAACACTTAACAGATTGCAGCAAAAATGAGTAATTCTCTTTCAAAAATATAAAATAAGTAACTCTATGCCCAAAAGAAAGCACTCACTTATTAACAGTTTGCCAGTCACCACTTATTTGCTGATGATGTTCAAGTCTTATACTGACAGATTCTTTAGTGTCAGGCACTTCCAGATTTGTTAGCAGAAGTTTTCCTTCTTTGGTTATAGCCGTAATATCATTCTGTATAAAGTTAAAATAGGATGTATCAAATACCTGCTAGTAATCTAATTTGAATGACCTGAAGAGAAGGAAGCATATACCTACAGTATACAGAATAGAAACAGTAGTTCTAGAATGGCCTTTACTTTCATAACTGAAAAGTCAAGGAATACTTCAGTACCACTGAATCCAAAAGCTGTGAGACTCTCCAGGAAAACTCACTCTGTTGAGATAGATGCTGCGAACATAATTTCTATAAGATCTTCACAGGCAGAAGTACCCCATGCACTGTTTGTAACCTCCTTCTCTTACTGGTAAAAGTTCTAAGTTATTCTAGTCTGCTAATATTTTTAATGTACTGCAATAAATCAGTAGTAGCATAATAAAGAGTACCACACTAGAAATCATATAGTAACAAATAACATTTAATGTATATTCAGATATAGTTAGAAGCCTTTCCTACTAATCCTTAATTGTTACCTATCACTGCCTGCCATAAATATTATGTACACATTTGGATTAATTATTTAATCATGAAGCATATACTTCTCTTTAGAAGGTCTTAACCTTGGAGAGTGGATTCTTCAGGCATGTAAGAGTGATCTATGACTTCCTTCAGGAGATCTAAAAATTTGGGTGCATATGTATTTTTCTGGGAACAGGTTCCATGACACCACCATCAATATAAGAAAGAAAAAACACTGCCATCTGGCTGGTGTGGCTCAATGGTTGAGCGTTGACCCATGCACTAAGTGGGTGCCAGTTCGATTCCCTGTCAGGGCACATGCTCAGGTTGTGGGCCAAATCCCCAGTGGGGGGCATGCAGGAGGCAGTCAACCGATGTTCTCTCTCATCGATGTTTCTATCTCTCTCTCTCTCTTTTCCTCTCTCTCTAACACCAATAAAGAAAAAAAATAACATAAATATTTAAGAGCTATTGCCAACTATATGCCAAACACTGTAGTGCATAAAGTACATATTTTAACTCATTTCATCCTCACAAAAACCCTACAAGATATGCATGTATCATCATCATCAACCTCATTGTACATAGAAGAAAAAAAAACTTACAGAGGGTAAGCAAATTACCCAGTCACACAGCTCGTGAGAAAAAGTTTTCTTTTCTAGAACAGTTTTCCTTTTAGATTATGATTCAAATCTTCACTTGTTCTCTTAATTTAAAAATTGTCACTTCTACATAGAGTTTGTATCTGTCAGTGTCCCAATAAGCCTATTACTATATTAAGGACATGAGTTCAACAGGAATGCCTCATCCTTGTTCAGATCATTCATAACCTTTTTGGAAAAGTAAATCTAAAGTACTTGGTGATGGTCTGAATTGTTACTCAGAAGCCTTCACAACCCAACACTCCATATAACTAGGTAGGAGAGCAAAATCAACTTCCTATTTATTCTAGAAAACATCAAGAACTAGTACTCTGTGAAAAAGAAAGCTTGTAATCAATTTATCATATTTGGTTTACTCCAAATAATAGTATATGGCAGAGTTGGGACAAGAAACCAGGCTTCCTGACTGTTCATCAAGTTCAACATTTTACATCTTACTTGTGGTAGATTTTTTTTTTTTATCCTTCCCCAAGGACATTTTTCCACTGGACATTTTTCCATTTTTTGTTCAGGTAGAGTGGGAGGGAGAGAGAGGAAGAGAGAAAGAGAGAGAAACATCGAGTGGCTGCCACCCATACGACCAACCAGGGCCGGGGACAAACTGCAACCGAGGTACATGCCCTTAGCGGGAACTGAACCCGGGTTTCTCTGGACCACAGGCCGATGCTCTAACAGCTGAGCAAAACTGTCCAAGGCTGTGGTAGATATTAAAAGTGAACACCTGTATGTCTCTTGACACTCTAACTTTCCAAATGAGAAGGCCTTTCTGCAAGATAACTAATATGTGGTAACAAAAATAATTGGAATTCTTATTCTGGAGCATTTATAAACTATTTACAAAAACAAAAAACAAAAATACAAAAACACAGCTTCTCAAGAGAATGCATCATTTACAAAGGAGACACTTAGATTTAACATATCCATGACATTCTCCTCTTATCAAGTATTCATTTTTATTCAAGATTTTATTAGTGTGCTTTAGAATATATAAATATAGCTTTTGTTTCCTTACCCACTAATGAGTGTAAAATAGACACAGTGAACACCTCTCTAGAAAAAGACCATGGAAAACATGTGTTTCTCCCCTCTTGCTGACACACCTTCAACAGGTGATACCTTTCAGTACAAATTACAAGAATTTCTTCTATTGAAGAAATATCATCAGGTAATTCTGTCTCAGCCAGTTCAATTCCAAAGGACTGTAACATTTGAGCCATTTCTTTCACTGTAAGGGCAAAATTTTCTATAGCCTGCAAAGAACCAGTAATTTTTTAATTCTGTGGAAACTCTGCCAGCATAACAAAATGTGGGTCAGTAATTGAATTTACTTTTATTTAGGTATGACAGCAAATGCATATACTATGAACTCTCCTTGCTAAGGAAAGTTGGCATTGCCCTTGACAGCCAACTTTAACTTTGTATCTAAGCCTCCAAAAAACTATAGTCAGGTGAAGAGTCTTCTTACATGACTTCTATCTAAATTTCTGTACTTATTTCTTGGACACTGATGAAAGCTCTCAGTTGGTTGCCTCCTGTGTGCAACCTGACCAGGTATCAAACCCGCAACCTAGATGCCATGTACTGAGTAATATATTTTATGATCTTGAAAACCACAGTGTTTTCCTTATTCTAGTAAACTCTGCAATTGTAAAATTAGCTTATAATAACTTTACTTCTGAAGAGAGATGAAAACATCAAAGCCACTTTATATTTATTCTAGTATATAAAAAAGTATTAGCATTCCAAGCAAGGTGATGGAATGAGTGATGAGGGAAAATAGTTCATTTCAGGTTCTGTTGCCCTAAAATGTCAAGTAAGATTTTGTTATTTACTTTGTTTCCAAAATCAATTACTCAGAGAAAGAAGGACAACATATAAAGACCATATAAATCCCCTTTTTACCACACAACACAGCTCAAGGTATCTGCTCTTTTATTTATATCTCTATCAGTTATTTAAGGCTAGCCATTGTTAATTTTCACAATATGTCTTCATATAAATGAATAGGACCACCGACTGAAGAATAAGCATGAGGGCCCTGGCCAGTGTGCTAGGTGGTTAGAGTATTGGCCCGTGCACTGAAGGGTCTCAGGTTTGATTCCCGTTCAAGGGCTCATACCTGAGTTGCAGGTTCAATCCCCAGCCAGGTCAGGGTGCATGCAAGAGGCAACCAATCTCTGTCTCTCTCTCTCTCTCTCTCTCTCTCTCTCTCTCTCTCTCTCCTCCCTCCCTCCACTCCATTCTCTGTATGAATCAATGGAAAAAAATAATTGGGTGAGGATTAACAACAAAAAAAGAATAAACATGAGGAAAATAGAATCCTGGTTTAATTAAATATCATTTAATTATTTCCTTCAGAAGGTTCCTGTATCTCTTGGATTTGGAGTAAGGGTTCTTATACCACAAACTCACCCCTGTGAGGTGCAGGGCTTTTGCCTATTTGTAAATTTCTAGAACACAAGGAGTCTTTGCTACTAATCTAATTCCCTTAGAAGAACTACTATGATGGTAAGATTAATAATATGATTTATATTTTTAAAAAATCTTCACCCAAGGATATGCTTAGAGAAAAGAAGGGAGGAAGGGAGGGAGAGGGAGGGACAGAGAAAAACAGAGAGAGAGAGACATCCAACAATCGGTTGCCTCCTGTACGCAACCGAACCAGGGATTGAACCAGCAACCATTTTGGTGTATAGGACAACATTCCAATCAACTACACCACTGGCCAGGGCATGATTTACATATTTTGAGGGCCTGCCATATGCCAGGCACCATGCTTAACATTATTAGTATTTACATTTTACAACAGGGAAAACTGAGACTTAGAGAGGTTATATAACTTGTGCAAGGTTACACAGCTAAAAATCATCTGTGCTAGGATTTGAATCCCAACCCTTTGATTCTTCAAATTACTACATGGCCACAAGAGGGGATAGGCAGAGGAAGATCTCCTTATTCTCTTGGCCTCTCCTTCAATTGCCATTCTCAGTGACTCTTCATCATTTCTAGATATTTCCTATAGAAATACATCAAGATGGCCCTGGCCTGTTTGGCTCAGCGGTTAGAGCGTCGGCCTGCGGTCCTGAGAGACCCGGGTTCGGTTCCCACTAAGGGCGCGTACCTCGGTTGCAGTTTGTCCCCGGCCCTGGTCGGTCGTGCGGGTGGCAGCCACTCGATGTGTTCCTTTCACATCGATGTTTCTCTCTCTCCCTCTGTTCCTCTCTCTCCCTCCCACTCTACCTGAACAAAAAATGGAAAAATGTCCTCCGGTGAGGATTAAAAAAAAAAAAAAAAAAGAAATACATCAAGATGTTGAATTATATATGTTTTTAAAAACTACAAGCCCCGGAATTCCATTTTTCCCAAAGAAGAAAAGAATTCTAGCACTAGATTTTAAAGCTAACATGAATTATAAGTTCTACGGTAAATGCAAAAGCAACATACATTTCTGAAGATGATCCATTCACTGTGGCAGTACTGCAAGGTGCCGCCTAACTCAGGGGTTAAATGCTAATCATCAATGTATGTCAGCAAATCAACAACTGAGCTCAGCATAACAACCTATATAAATAAGCAAGAAAGATACTGTTAACTACCCTTTGTGGCATCCTTCCATTTAACTGTGCAATGAACTTTAGCATGCACAAAGCAGAAATGTATCTCTATAAACGGCTCTAACAATTCTCTCCCGTACATCCCCACACACATGTATGCACTACCTTCTTTAGGTAATAACAATTTTCATTTACAACAGAATTCTCTGTAAAGCAAAATTAATCTCCATAGAAACCCAAATGCCTGGTTCTTCTTGATTTAAAATTTTGCATTGTTAATGGTGAACCTTCTGTAAGAATGTTACATCTACCACAAAGTAAAAGGGCTTTCTATAGTCAGTTATAATTTATCAGGAGAGACTTATTTGAAAAAGTATCAAAATTTATGAGGATTCTATTCCTACTTCTAAAAATGTATAAAAGTGAGGTCCTGAATGGCAGTGGGTAGCACCGTGAGGAGGGTGAGTGCGTGAGAGAGTGAGCGAGTGTGTGAGAGAGTATGAGTGGACGTGGAGGTGGATGACCAAACCCGAGCAGTGCAGAGCTGTGGAGCAGAAAGTTCCTGTGCTATGGACAGGAACAGCCGGCTACCACAGTGAACAGCCCTTCAGGGCACTTCTCCCTGTGCCACGGGGAGGTCACACCATTTTGGAAGATCCCGGATCATCCTTGGAAGGAGACAGTGGGAGCTGCTAGGGCCCAGCAACCTGAGCCCACCAGCACAACTGGCACCATAGGACCAGTGGACATTCTGTATCAACACAGACTGGTGCACAGTACTGGACCTCCCAAGGTGCTGGTCGCAGAAGCCACAGACAGACTGGAGGCCAGCACCATCCACCATAGTAGCAGCCTGATTAGAGTCTAGATATAACCCCAGCACCAGAGGCTGGGGAGCAGACATCCAACCATAGGCAACAGAAGCACATACCAGCAGCTGAGACCCATCCCCCAAAACTACAGCAAAAGCTGAGCAGGGATAGGAAAAATGGCAGCGGAGTGAATGGAGCTACACAGACCATCACCCAAGACCAAACTGGATTTACAACAAAAATAAAGGCAAATCGTCAGGAAGGGGCAACCGAAAGACACCTTGGAGGAACACATAACCAGGGACACTGACTCAATCCTGGTAGGCTTGCGAGGACGCAAGAGGGGGCCGGGAGCCCACGGTCCGCAGCGGCCTGGGCGGGGACCAGGGGACTCGGCAGCGGGAAGTTGCTGCTACCGCCTCGGCTGCGACCCTGCATGAGTCCTGTGAACTCTGCTGCCTGCTAAGCCCTTGGCTGGTGCTGCACGGACTGTCACAAACTGACTGCGACCAGGGGAATTGGCGGAACGCTGCAGCCGCCTCGGCTTCCACCCTGGCTGAGTCCTGCAAACTATGCATGCTAAGCCCTCAGCTGGTACTGCACGGACTGTCTGGGACCAGGGTACTGTGCTGGAAGCTGCTGCCACCTCGGCAGTGTCCGGCTACTGCGGCTTAGTACTGGGCTTCTGCTGAGTGCAACACCACAGCCGCGGCCGCGCATGGCTAGAACCAGCGCCCTCGGGATAAAAGTCCCAGGTGGCTCCATGACGCAGAATCTGTACAGAGGCTAAATTGGCAGCAACCACTCACCTTGAGCTCCGACAGAGGAAAGGCAGACTGGACTGGAACTGTGTGGGGACACTCAGGATTTGGACGGTGCTAAGAGCTTTCGCTGAGTGCAGCCACGCAGGACTGTGGTCATTTTATTCCTTCCCAGGGCCCTGGGGAGAGGCGGAAGACGCTCACTCAGAGATTCAACCCCACCTGGTGGCCACTGAAATGCTAATTGAGGCCCATTATCAACCAGAAGCTGCCCCACCCTCAGGAAATCCTCTTACACTGAGCACCTGAGGGAGTTTTTCAGGCAAATCAGAAACCAAGGGTCTTCAGGTGACCTCTACTGATAGACTACAGGCAAAAAAAGCTAGAGGATAACTACCATTCCCTGGGATAGCAACACTAACCAGAAAAGCTAAGACTTGACGGTGGTGTTTAAAGTGGATCGTCCCTGGCTCATCCAAACCCAGGAGAGAAAGCCACCAACAGAACAACAACAACACCCACAGGGAAAATTTGGCAAACTCCAAAGCCAACTGTGATAGCAAAAATGGTGAAAAACAGAAACAAAAGCCAAATGAAAAAACAAGAGACCTCTACAGAAAATGAGATAAATGAGGTGCAGTTAAGCAAGTTAACAGAACTAGAATTTAGAGCCATGATGTTGAAGAAGCTCAATAGCATGTGTAAGGATATGAGCACCATGAGTAAAGACATAGAAATGTTGAAAATCAACCAGATGGAAATGAAAAACCAACAGGAAGAAATGAAGAATGACATATCAGAAATGAAAAACACATTGGAAGGTATAAAAAGCAGAGTAGGGGAAGCTGAGGACCGGATCAGTGATTTAGAAGACAGGGTAGAAAAAATCAACCAATCAGAAAACCAAAAGGAAAAAAACAATTAAAAAACTGGAAGACAGCTTAAGAGAACTGTGGGACAACTGGAAACGGAATAATATTCTCATCATAGGAGTCCCTGAAGAATAAAATAAGCAAGGGTTAGAGAATATATTCAAAGAAATAGTGACAGAAAAAATTCCCTAATTTGGTGAAGGAAGAAGGCATTCAAGTTCAAGAAGCTCAGAGAGCCCCAAGTAAGAAGAACCCAAACAGACCCACACCAAGACACATAGTAATCAATCAGACAAAAATTAAAGACAAACACAGAATCCTAAAAGCAGCACAAGAGAAGCAACAGGTTACCTACAAAGGAAACCCCATAAGGCTCTCAGCTCACTTCTCACAAGAAACACTACAGGCCAGAAGGGAATGGCATGAAGTAATCAAGGTCATGAAAAACAAGGATCTGATTCCAAGACTACCCTACCCAGCAAGGCTATCATTCAAAATAGAAGTTCAAATAAAGAGCTTCCCTGACTAAAAAAAGGCTAAGGGAATACATTAGCACCAAAGCAGCACTGCAAGAAATGTTAAAAGGACTGCTGTAATTAGCAAGATAAATGGAAAGAAAAATAGAACCACACTAAACAAAAATGGCAATCAATAAGTACATATCAATAATCACCTTAAATGAAAATGGAATGAATGTTCCTATAAAAAGACACAGAGTAGCTGATTGGATAAGAAACCATGACTCATCTACATGTTGTTTACAGGAGACCCACCTCACAACAAAAGACTCACATAGATTGAAAGTGAAGGGATGCAAAAAAATCTTCCAAGCAAATGGAAAAGAAAAAAAAGCTGGGGTAGCAATGCTCATATCTGATAAAATAGATTTCAGAATGAAGGCCATAACTAGAGAGAAAGAAGGCCACTACATAATATTGAAAAAATCTATCCAACGGGAAGATATAACCTTGATAAACATATATGCACCCAATATAGGAGCACCAAAATATATTAAAAAAACTTCTGGAGGACTTCAAAGGAGAAATCGATAGCAATACAATCATAGCAGGGGACTTCAACACCCCGCTGACATCACTGGATAGATCCTTTAGAAGAAAAATTAGCAAGGAAACAGAGACTCTAAATGAAGCACTAGACCAAATGGATTTAATGGATATCTGCAGAAAATTACACCCCAAAACTATAGAATTCACATTCTTCTCCAGTGCACATGGGACATTCTCAAAGATAGAAAACATGTTAGGGCACAAATTAAGTCTCTACAAGTTCAAGAAGATTGAAATCATATCAAGCATCTTCTCAGATCACAATGGCATGAAACTAGAAATCAATTGCAAGAAGAACATACAAAGACATTTCAACACATGGAAGCTAAATAGCATGTTATTAAACAATGAATGGGTCACCGAAGAGATCAAGGAAGACATCAAAAACTTCCTAGAAACCAATGAAAATAAAGATACCACAACACAAAATCTATGGGACGCAGCAAAAGCAGTTCTGAGAGGGAAGTTCATAGTACTACAGGCTTACCTGAAAAAAGAAGAAAAATCTCTAATAGATTATCTAATATCACAACTTAAAGAACTAGAGAGTAAACAAAAAGAAAACCCCAGAGCAAGTAGAAGAAAGGAAATAGTAAAGATCAGAGCAGAAATAAATGACATAGAGACCAAAAAAAACAATTCAGAGGATCAATAAAACAAAGACCTGGTTTTTCGAAAAGATAAACAAGATTGATGGACACTTAGCTAGACTCACCAAGAAACGAAGAGAGAGAACCCAAATACACAAAATCAGAAATGAAAGAGGAGAGGTAACAACTGACACCACAGAAATACAAAAGATCATAAACAACAACTATGAACAATTATATGGCAACAAATTGGACAATCAAAGGGAAATGGACAAATTTCTGGAAACACATAGTCTCCCAAAACGGGATCAGGAAGAGATAGAAAACTTGAAGAGACTAATAACATCAGAAGAAATTGAAGACGTAATCAAGACTCTCCCAGTAAACAAAAGCCCAGGCCCAGATGGCTTCATGGGGGAGTTTTACCGAACATTCAAAGAAGAACTAATACCCATTCTCAAAATATTTCAAAAAAATTAAAGAAGAAGGAAGACTTCCAAACTTGTTTTATGAAGCCAGCATAATTCTAATTCCAAAACCAGAAAAAGACACAACAAAGAAAGAAAACTACAGGCCAATATCCCTGATGAACATAGATGCCAAAATCCTGAACAAAATACTAGCAAATCGGATCCAGAAATACATCAAAAAAATTATCCACCATGACCAAGTGGGATTCATCCCAGGGATGCAAGGCTGGTACAATATTTGCAAATCAATAAATGTGATACACCACATAAATAAAATGAAGAATAAAAACCACATGATAATATCAATAGATGCTGAGAAAGCCTTCGACAAAATCCAGCATCTATTTCTGATAAAAACGTTCAGCAGGGTGGGAATAGAGGGATCATATCTAGACATAATAAAGGCCATATATGAAAGACCTACAGCCAACATCATACTCAATGGACAGAAACTAAAAGCATTTCCCTTAAGAACAGGAACAAGACAGGGATATCCACTTTCGCCACTCCTAGTTAACATAGTTCTGGAAGTCTTAGCCACAGCAATCAGACATGAAGAAAAAATAAAAGCGATCCAAATTAGAAGGGAGGAATCAAAACTGTCATTATTTGCAGATGACATGATATTATACATAGAAAACCCTAAAGACTTCATCAAAAATCTACTAGACTTAATAAATGAATTTGGGAAAGTAGCAGGATACAAAATTAACGTCAAGAAATCCATGGCATTCTTATACACCAATGATGAACTCACAGAAAAAGAAACTAAAAAAACTGGGCGGGGTCTCAACAGAGGCTTTAGCAGCAACTTCCTGCCACCGCCTCCGAGTTCCCTGGCCCCAGCGAGTCCGTGGGGCCCCAGCCGAGGGTTTGGGAGGCAGGAGAGTTCCCACAGGAGAGTTTGCAGGACTGGGGCGGGGTGGCAGCGGAGGCTTTAGTAGCAAGTTCCAGCTGCGGAGTTTCCCATCCCCGCGCTGGCCACGGAGGGTTTAGCAGCCACTTCCCGCCATGGAATCCCCTGGTCCCCGCCCAGGCCACTGCGGACCCTGGGCTCCAGGCCGTCTCTCTTGTCCTCGCAAGCCTACCAGGATTGAGTCGGTGTCCCTGGTTTAGTGGTCCTCCATGGTGTCTTTCGGTTGCCCCTTCCTGACGATTTGCCTTTATTTTCGTTGTGAATCAGTTTGGTCCTGGGAGATGGTCTGTGTAGCTCCATTCACTCCGCCGCCATTTTTTCAACAAAACATTTTTTAAAATGTACTCTTACCGGTAGTTTGAGCATAAAATCTTCCTGACGAAATCGAAATCCAATGTCTGTGAAAGTTCGTTGAAGAAAAGTGATTGGACGCAGAACCAATACCAAGTGTAAATTCCCAGGGAAGGAAGCCTGTAGAAAGAAAGAACATAGGGAAGAAAGAAACAATTGTCAAAACATGCATTCAACTGAGTGCATATCTTAAAACTGTAATGAAAGGAAACACATTTTAACATCATAAAAGTCACTAAAAAGACAAACTTTAAAAATGGTTATTGATAAACTAAAAACATGAAAATAAAAATAAAACCAATGTAAGGTCATAACATCAGGTCTTTGCAATGCTCATGGCATGGAATTTTCTTACACTAAAGTAAATTCCAAGTTACAAATAATTTAACTCTTTTTTTTTCTTTTTTTCTTTTTCTTTTGGGTATTTTTTATTGTTGAAAATAATACAGATGTCCTCTCTTTATTCCCCATTGACCCACTCCCACTCCCCTTCTGCTTTCCCCAAGGTAATGTCTGAGTGGATTGGCTGTGCATATGTTCATATAAGTTCTTTGATTTATCTCTTCCCACCCCTCCCACCCCCCATCCCTCTGAGGTTTGTCAGTCTGTTTCCTACTTCCATGTCTCTGGATCTTTTTTGGTTGACAGCTTATTTTGTTTATTATGTTCCACAAATCAGTAAGATCATGTGGTACTTGCCTTTCTCTGACTGGTTTATTTCACTTAGCATAATACTCTCCAGTTCCCTCCATGTCATCTCAAAGAATAAGAGATCTCCCTTTCTTACAGCTGCATAGTATTCTGTTGTGTAAATGTATGAGAACTTTTTTTATCTACTCATCTACTGATGGACACTTGGGCTATTTCCAAATCTTAGCAATTGTAAATAGTACTGCTATAAACATAGGGGTGCATATATTCTTTATGATTGGTGTTTCTGGCTTCTTAGGATATATTCTTAGAAGTGGGATCCCTGGGTCAAATGGCATCTCAATTTTTAATTTTTTGAGGTATCACCATATTGTTTTCCACAGTGGCTGCACCAATCTGTATTCCTACCAGCACTGTACTAGAGTCCCCTTTTCTCCACATCCTTGCCAGAACTTGTTAAATAATTAAACTCTTAAGCTTCATTTTAAAGTTAGTTTTTGTACTCAAATTGTATTTATTCCCTATAAAACAAAATTAGGAGGCAGATTCCTAGGGTAGCCCAAAAAGTCAAAGGGAGCTAAAATAATGTATACTTATAGTAAAGAATAGAAGAAAAGTATATTATGAACTCAATTTTTTTTCATTCAAGCAACATTCACTCAATATCTTTTGTGTCCACTCCATGTATTTAAGTAAATAATTATCAGGCACTAATGGCATTCAGTGTACACAAATTAATAAAATGTAATCTCTACCCTTATTGAAAGAAAATGACTGTCTAATAGTGTAGCCCATTAATACTCATTAGCTCTGTAGCATGATAAGTTGATAAGTAAAACAAGGGAATTAGAATAATATCCAACAGGAAGTGGTAGCACTGAGCATCCCAGACCTAGAAATGTCAAAAAAAGTTTTGAAGCATAAAGAGGAATTATTTGGGATAACAGAGTATTGTACTGGTGCACTAATGTATCCCCGGCTTCTAGAATACTAGCACATAGTTGGTGGTAAGGAAAAAATTGCCAAATAAAATATTACAAAAGGCGGGAACTATGCAAAATTAGTGGATAGACTAGTATAGAGTTATAATAATAAACCACCACATATCAAATGTTTACTCTATGCCAAGTATTTTTACCAATATTATCATAGCTCCTCTTTATAATAATTCTTTGAAGTAGTTAGGCTATCCTCTTTTACAAATAAAGAAATTGAGTTTCAGAAAGTTTAAGTAAATTTTGACCCTGCTGGTGAAGTCTTAATTTATACCTGAGTCTGTGCTTTCAATCATTATACTATCCCACTTCTTTAACGGGTTGCAATCAGGAAAGCTAGAGGAAAATGATGCTGGGGATGTAGAAATGGGAGATACTGCTAAAAAGATGGGCAGGAGTCAGTTCAGAAAAGGCTCTGGGTTTTCTCCTGGAAGCAAGGGGAGATTCTAAAAGGTTTTAGAGTAACCTTTTAGCAGCAGAGTAACGCGATCAGTTTGCATTTTAGGAGGATCACTCTGGATTTTGACAAGACTTAAGTCAGGTGAGCAAGGAGACCAGTGCAGTAACCAAATCAGGGATGAGACATTTCTGAACTGGAGAAACAACAGCAGGGATGAGGGTAGAATTTGGGAGATACAATCTGCAAGACATGATGAATGAATGTGCCTGATAAGAAAGGAAAAACTAGGAACTCAGTCTCCAGATTTCTGGCTTAAGTAACTAACATTAAAAACACAGGAGAAGCAGGTTGGAAGGGTGACCAGGACATCCAGATGATGTCTAACAGCAAATGTATGTACAAGGAAGGAGAAAAAAAAGTGCAGACTTGGAATGGAGAGTTGGGAGTCAGCCTCAAAACTGCAGATTAAAACATAATAAAGAAAAATCTGTCAAGAATGTTTAAAATATAATAGTATTTCAGGCATGTTGAAATATTAGTAATTACACAAAATTATAAAACTAAAATGAAGATGCTATAGGGCAGAGGTAATGGAAACTGTACTTTTTGCTCAATTTGCTGTGAACCCAAACCTGCTCTAAAAAAATAATATATTAGAAAGAGAATAACTTTCACTGAAGTGTGAGACCTAACTTCTTGGGGAAATGACATTTAAAATGGGGGATTTAAAAAATTCAATGTGCATCAAACAACAAGTGGTGAGGGTGTGGAGAAAAGGGGACTCAAGTACACTGCTGGTGGGAATGTAGACTGGTGCAGCCACTATGGAAAACACTATGGTGTTACCTCAAAAAATTAAAAATGGACCTGCCATTTGACCCTGTGATTCCACTTCCAGGAATACACCCTAAGAAAACTGAAACACCAATCAGAAAGAATATATGTACCTCTATGTTCATAGTAGCACTATAATGGAATACTATGCAGCTGTAAGAAAGAAAAATGTCTTATGCTTTCAGGTGGCATGGAAAAACCTAGAGAGTATTATACTAAGTGAAATAAGCCAAGCAGAGAAAGACAAATATCACATGATCTTACTTATTTGTGGAATATAATGAACTAAACAAACTGCTGAACAAAATCAACCCACAGACATAGAAATGGGGTACAGACTGACAAGTCTCAGAGGAGGGGGTGTTGGGGAAGGAAGAGATAAACCACAGAACTTACATGAATGTATGCATGATAAATGAACATAGACAACAAAGCTAGGGATGGGACAAGGCGAAAAGGAAGGAGGGTGTCAATAGAGGAAAAATTAGAAACATCTGTAACAAAAATTAATAAATAAAACATAAATTAATTAATAAAACAATTCAATGTAAAGTGGTGATAAAACATAAACAATTAAGTGGCAATGAGAACCAGAGGGAAAGAGAGCAGTGTCAAACAAACAGGTTTCAAAAAAGTACAAAATTAGAGGAAGATGGCGGCAGGCAGGACCTAAGGGAGGGTGTGTGTGTGAGACAGTGACCTATTGTGTGAGAGTGTGTGAGTAGACTTGAAGGCGGATGACCAAACTCATGCAGTGCAGAAAAGCAGAGCAGAAGGTTCCTGTGCTGTGCAAGGGAACAGCCAGCTACCATGGTAATCAGCTCTTCAGGGCACTTCTCCCTACACCACAGGGAAGTCCCACCATTTTGGGAAATCTTGGGTATTACCTGGGAGAAAACAGTGGGAGCTGCTAGGGCCCGTCAACCTGAGCCCACCAGCACACCTGACACCATCGAACAAGTGGACAATCTGTGTCAACACAGACCAGTGCTCAGTAGTGGAACTCTCAAGGTGCCAGTAGTGGAAGCCACAGATAGCCAGGAGCCCAGCACCATCCCCCATAGTAGCAGCCCTATCAGAGTCCAGATACATCCCCAGCAACAGAGGCTGGGAGCAGACATCCATACCCAGGCAACAGAAGCACAGACCAGCAGATGAGACACATCCCCAAAAACTACAGCCAAAACTGAGGAGTTGAGCCCCACAAGGCAGCAGCACTTCACAGCCCCCAGCGGTGGGACCTGGGCTCCACAGAGGCCTGTGTGGTCCAGTAACTCACAAGAGCAATGGGAAGACAGAGCACGAAAGAGACTGGTGTGATCCAGCTACCCACCCACTGGACCAGCAGGGTCAGAAGAACCAGAGAGGTCTGTGTGACCCAGCAGGGACTGTGCGATCCAGTTACTCGCTGAACCTGAGGGGTGCTGAAACACCAGAGAGACCTGTACAACCAAGCAGGGACTGCGTGATCTAGTTACTTGTGGGACCTAATGGTTGCTGAAACACCAGAGAGGCCTGTGCAATGCAGCAGAAACTGTGCCATAGAATTACCAGAGGGACTTGTGGGGTGCAGAAGGACCAGAGAGGCCTGTGCGACCCAGAAGCCCATAACATAGGCATAGAGCCAGGTCCCCAAAAGGACTGTAGAATCCAGTTACCCACAAGACCTGCAGGGTGCGGGGGCACCAGAGATGCCTGTGTGACCCAGCTGCACACAAGACAGGCTCAGAGGATGTGAAAAAGAAGAAGTGAATGGAAGCTATACAGACAATCTCCCAGGGCCAAATGGGAATTACAACCAAAATAAAGACAAATCCTCAGAAAAAAAGCAATAGAAAAGCAGCAGGACAGGACCGTATACCAGGGACATAGGTAAAATCTGCTAAAGAGTGAGACGGTGGCAGGCTGGGAGCCCAAGGACAGCAGCAGACTTAGCTGTGAGCAGCAACCTTGGGGAATGAAGACCAAGCCAACCCCACAGTGCAGAAAGCCTGGACAGGGCACTAAAATAACCACAGCCACTCCCTTGAGGGCTACAGCAGAAGGAGAGCAGACTGCACTGGAACTCTGTGGGGACAACCAGGATGGGGAGGGTACCAGTTTTTGCTGGGTTCCTTCCCTGAGCTGTGGGGAAAAACAGCAGCCCCCCCCCCCCACCCTTATAGATTCAGCCTTTCCCAGGTGAGGCAAAAAAACAAATTGAGGTTCATTAAGAACCAGCATCTATCCCACACTCTGGA